TATATATATATATATATATATTCATTTGTAGACCTGAATAGAGCTTTTATAGTATGGCTCCAACGTTTTTCATTCTTTATTTTGTTATTCTAAAATCTTTTCTTAACTTATGTGCCCAATGTGTTTGCTTATTTTTTTGCTTGCACAGAGGCACACAAGGTGAAAAAAAATATGGCAACAAGAAATTCATATATATCAATCTTGATGAAATCCCGCTGTAGGCCTACTGTTTAATACAAATTTGTATTTTCGTGGCAACTGCCGATCTAGATACAATAGCTTTTATCTGTATATCGAGTGTCTAGAAGCATCTGAGTATGTATGTGTGAGTGAGTTTGTGTTAACAAGCTTCTGCCATAAGAATGCTCAATAGTAACATTGTGTAATAAAATGTATAATAATGATAATATGGTGGTGTGGCGGCATAGTGGTTAGGGCATTATGCTTGGCCCCCAGAGGATCTGAGTTCAAGCCCCACTCCCACAGACTGCCACTCTGGGTCCTGAGCAAGACCTTTAATCTCACACTGCACCCCAGGTGCAGCACAGTGGCAGCCCACTGCTCCACAGGGGTTTGGGTTAAATGCAGAGGGGAATTTCTCCAATGTGAGAATAAAGTTCTATTATTATAGTAGACATAGGTCATAGGAATGAAGGAAGGGCGGAAAGCCACTGCAGGTTAGAATTATTTATCAACTCTATGGGGCCAAACCCTTAGTAAAGGCACCAATGTGATGTTTAGAGATATAAAGTGTTTCAGAGACATCGATGTCATCCCATTTATGATTTACAACAGATCGGGTCAATAAACATAAATTCATAATAAGGTCTATGATTTGCTACAATTATGCATTGATTATTCCTTTGCATGGAGGACTTTGTCTTTTCTACAAACAAACATTGTCTTCCCACCACATGTAAGGTACTGTTTAAAGATGACTTTACAAAACAAACTCTAACAACTCTTAAATCATCAATCACTTTTTGGCACATATATATTAATCCAGCATGCAGGGAGTTGCAAGTTATTTACAATGTTTGGAATGACACGTACAACTAAGATTATTGCTTTTAATAATAATCAATACGGTGTCTTAACAAAGCAAATGAGCTTTTAAAATATAGTATTTAGGTTTGTTTTTAAGATTTCTCGCAGTAATGTGAAACAAAAAATGTTAACAAAACAAAAGCATGCAGGATTCTGTGTTAACATGGAAACCTATACTTAATCTCAATCTGCAACAGCAGGATCCAAGCTGACAGTATAGGAACAGTGGAGAACAAATGTATTTTACTTTTCATTTTGAAATTGAAGTGCTATAGAAATCTATACATCTCTTAACTAAGATATCATGGAATAATGCAAACAAAACTCTGGTGTGATCTTGCTGGTAATAATTTTAATTTTTAAAGATGTGTAACACTTCTTTCTTCAGTCAGCTGTCAATGTAGCTTAAGAGTCTGGAATGATTACACCTTGACAGGGACAGACTGACAGCTTTTACTGTAAATGTATTGCTGTCAATGACTGATTAGTATGTTCTTTAAGTTGTTACCTGTCGGATCCACGATGGATTGTCTTGTCAGGTGATTTTTATGGACAGGTTTGCAGTAGCCCAGTTTTGCTTTTAAATGTAAATGAAAGGAACAACAACATTCAAGGACTGAAGAAGTGAAATCCCTCCTTAACTCCTAGTTACAAAGGCAGACTTCTTTTCCACTATTGTGTTTTTGTTACTCTCACTGGACTGTCTTTGGTGGGGTGCCTCAGGTATAGTAGCCTCACAGAGAAACTCTTCCTCAAGCAACACAAAAGCATTATTCTGTCAGTAGCTTTTCAATTCATAGATTGTAGACTGCGTTTTGCATTAAAAAGTACCTTGAGGGAGCATTTCTTACACAAAATGGCTGAATTAGCTGGTGTTACTATAACCTCTGCCGAGGTCAAACAGGGTTTCAAGACAACAGAAGCAGACAAACAAGAGGAACATAGAAGCACTGATCTATAAATACTTTCTGATAGAAAAGGTAATGGAAAACTTGCTTTATAGGTGACTCTATCTATTTATGTATGGACTAGTTTTTCTGCATCATCTCTGTACAGATAGATATTACACATTTTTGCAATATTCTGGAGATTGAAATAATAAATAATAAGAAATTCTAGAATCCTTTCTGATATGTGTTTCGTAAAAGTTTAAAAACAATCCAATGGACTTGGTTTCCAAGGTTTGAAGACGTTTCGCTTCCCCTCCAGGAAGCTTTCTCAATTCAACTGTCTGGATTCACAGTGAGTTTGAGGCTTTATATAGACAAGGTCTTGTATTGCCTGGAAACATACAAATTCAAGCCAGCGAGCGGGTCTTTTGGTTCCATTGTTAGCCTGTAATATCTGAAACCTGTCTAAGATTGTGAAGGGTCGGTCATTAAAGGGGGGATTGTTCACCTGGCTGAAGAGAGGAGGTACTTTGTTCCTCTGTGATGG